GAAAGGTTTGTGTTAAACCAGCCAACTCACCCGGAGAATTCAGAGCTAAGAACGTATTTTTCCCCCTTGGTCAGAGAGTGAAAGATCTCGGGTTCTTGTGATCTGCCAGAGGCAGAACATTCCTTTGGAAAATGGGTTGTTAGCCAGTCTTAGTGGGCTCCTGCATGCGGGCTTTCCTCCCATTCTTCTTCCTTTTGGTTTCCTGAGATGACTTAATTTAAAGGATGAGGGTTTATGTTGGCTCACAGAATCTGAGGGATCAGTTCTCCATCACTTCCTGCCACTTTGGGGCCCGTGGTGATGAGGTAAGACATCATGATGGAAGAATATGGAGGAGGGAAGCTGCTCACTTCATGACAGAGGGGAATCAGAGGGTGGAAGCTATACTCCCAGCTTCCTCTTTGAGAACAGGCCTGCAGTGAGCTAGAAACACATCCTCCAACAAGGCCCCACCTGCTCATGGTTTCCCCTCCTGGAGGCACCATGATGAGGTTGCTGGTGGTGTCATTGAGGCCTGCATGCCTTTATCCAGAACTTTTTTTTTTCGTGGATTGCCATTCCTTTTTTAAAATATTTATTTATTATGTATACAATGTTCTGTCTGTGTGGATATCTGCAGGCCAGAATAAGGCACCAGACCCCATTATAGATGGATGTGAGCCACCATTGTGGTTGCCGGGAATTGAACTCAGGACCTTTGGAAGAGCAGGTAATGCTCTTAACCACTGAGTCATCTCTCCAGCCCCTATCCAGAACTTTTTAACTCTTCCAAGTCTCAAAACAATCTAGTTATTTCTGGGAGAGCGTCTCACTGTGAAGCACAGGCTAGCCACAAGCTCACAGAGATCTACCAGTCTCTGTCTCCAGAGTGCTGGGGTTAAAGGTACCCCACCTTTAACCACACCTGGCAAGGATCTAGGATGAAGTTGATTTGAAACAAATTGGTATGAACTTAAGCACAGTTCTGGTCCTCCAACATCAATGACGACAACACCCCCTCCCCACCCCTACTATTTGGATGTGGTTTGTTCCCTAATGGTGTAGGAGTAGGACTGAGGAGGGGCCACATAGGAGATCATTAAGGCACTGTGGAAGTGATTAAGGTAGTTTTCTTGGGATCCCCCACTAGTTCTCATTAAAGAGAGTTAGCTATAATTGGACTCTCTGGTGCACACTCTGTAGTCAGCCTTACAGGTGGCATGATGTCAACATTACCTTACCACCTACCACGAGGCCACATTGATGGGGCTGCTTGGTCCTAGACTCAGGCCTCTTTCCTAGTTTGGTTTCTGTTGCTGTCACAAAACTCTGAACCCGAGGAAGGAAAGGGTTTATCTGGGTTACAGCCTATAGATCAGCAACCAGGAAAGCCCAGGCAGGAACCTGGAGGCCCTCTGTATACTGTGAATACCATTGGTTAATAAAGGAACTGCTTTTGGGCTTATAGCTGATGTGGGAGTGTCATATATCAATCTGTTGATTTCATTGGTTAATTAAATAAAGAAACTGCTTGCCCTGATAGGTTAAAATATAGGTGGGAGGAGTAAATAGGAGGAAGATGGGAGGAGTAAACAGAATGGAATGCTGGGAGGAAGAGGAAGTGATCTCAGACTCGACAGCTCTGCTCTCTGGAGCAGAGACGCCAGGCTCCGCTCTCCCAAGCAGCTCCGACCCAGGATGGACGTAGGCTAGAATCTTCCTGGTAAGCGCACCTTGGGGTGCTTACACACATTACTAGAAATGGGCTAGTCCAGGTGCGAGAGTTAGCTGAGAAGAGGCTGGATATAATGGGCAAGCAGTGTTTAAAAGAATACAATTTGTGTGCTGTTATTTCGGGCATGAGCTAGCAGGCGGCCGGGGTGCTGGGGACGCAGCCCCGCTGTTCTTATTTCAACATATAGCAGAGCTATATGGGAACAGAACTAGGTGGGGAAAATTAAGCTGAATATTGGGAGAAAGGAGGCGGAGTCAAAGAGAAGCCATGTAGCCCGCTGGAGATAGACGCCAGAACTTTAGCCGGTAAACCATAGCCATATGGCGATATACAGATGAATAGAAATGGGTTAAATTAATATGTAAGAGCTAGCCAATAAGAAGCTAGAGCTAATAGGCCAAACAGTGATATAATTAATACAGTTTCTGTGTGATTATTTTGGTGCTAAGTGGCCAGGAACTAACTAGTGGCCTCTTCCTACAGTAGAAACTGAAGCCGAGGCCATGGAGGAATGCTGCTTCGTGGCTTGCCCTCTTTGGCTTATGCAGCCCCTTTCTTACATAGTCCAGGCCTTCCTGCCTAGGGCTGGTATTGCCTACAGGGTGCTGGGTCCTCCCACATCCATTAGCAGTCAAGAAAATGCCCTACAAACATGCTCACAGTCCAATCTGATGGAGGCCGTTCCTTAGTTGAGATTCCCTCTTCCCAGGTTTGTGTCAAGTTGATAAATCTAAGAGCTGAATAGCTCCTTCCCTTCTTCACCTCTCCTGCTGTTTCTATTGTCTTCCCGTGCTGGAGATGAACCCTGGCCCTGCACACCCCACACAAGCAGTAGTACTAGACCTCTGGGCTGCATCCTAGTCAACCTCCTCTCCTTATAAATTTCCCAGTCTCAGGCATATCATAGCAACAAAAACAAGCCAATACACCAAGGTTAAAAAAAATAGGACTACAGTCTTTTATATAAATTATATGGGTCCAAATACATATTCAGAATTTCTAAGACTTTAAAAAGTAACATAGTTTACATGGTATAGATTTTGAACCAACCCTTACAGCAGGGTCTAGGACAATACTCTATAATCAATGCATTTCTATTTTACGGTAAAGCATAGATGTGTGCATGGAGTGGAAAAAATGAGATTATATATCGCCTCAATTCAGTTTCAGGACAATTGGATCATTAAGGATTATTGCTATTATTGCTTGTCTTTTTGAGACAATGCTTCTCTGTGTAGCCTTGGCTGTCCTGAAACTCACTCCAAAGACCAGGCTGGCCTTGAACTCACAGAGATTCGCCTGCCTCTGCCTCCCAAGTGCTGGGATTAAAGGCGTGCGCCACCACCGCCCGGCTGAGAATTATTTTTTAAAGTATATATTTTCAGGGATTTTTATATATTTAGTGGTGTCCAGGCCTCTAATAGCAAGGCCAGTATTCCCTTCTCTTGATGCACTAAAATTTGTAAATGAGGGCCAGGGAAGGAGCCGTGGTAGAGCACTTGCCCAGTAGGTTCAAGGCTTTGGATTCAATCTTCAGTACTACACATAAGGGAGTGTATAGTGTCGTCTTGATGTGTGTGTGTGTGTGTGTGTGTGTGTACAGACATGCTGATTAGTATCAAGGAAAACACTATTTTCTCTTAACTTCTCAAGGCATCACAGAGACCAGTCCTTCAAAAATAAAACCTTGAAAAGTTACAGGGACTAATTTTCAACTTCAGAGAAGAACAAAAGGACTTACAGGTGGGGAATGAGGTAGAGGGAACAGAAAATGCCTTAGGTAGGAGAGGGTGTACTATAATAAAATACCCTTGAGTTAGACAAGCTTCGATCGAGAGTCCTGAGACACGCAGAGGATGGAAATACACAAAGATAGGAAGCGGTCAAGAGACGCAGTTTCGGGATTGCAATTTATTGCCTAGCCCAGTAATAAAAGCTACTCACTGGCACAGCTATTTTTGAACGCTGAACTTCATTCACACGCACTGCTAGTGAATACCAGAAGCCATACATAATGTCTGACCCCAGCCGCCACTTCATACAGCAAATCTGCGCATGGGAGCTTTAACATGATTGACTGGTCTTCTGTCCTGCGGCGGCAGGAGACCACTTTTGTCTCTCACGTTGGGTTTCCGACGTCTCTCACACTCCCTCCTTTTCAGACACACAAAAGGTCTCTTGTAAAAGTTTCTCTAGGCTGTATTGTTGGCAACAGCAGTAACCCTGCCACATGCCTGGTGGAGTTACAGGGTGTGATTTTCGACTGGTGTAGTCAGAACCTCTGGATTTTTGAATACAGCTGAGAATTTCCTTATGAGCTATAAACGAAAATGTGTACTAATTCAGATGTTTTATTGGCCTAGTCTGGTCTGCGACCAGCCAGCTGCTGTAGGCAGCACTTTCTCATAGAACCATCAGGTACAATAACCCCCCTCTTCTCTTACACGACCTCAAGTCCCCTCTTCCCTCACTTCAATAGAAATATCATTGCAGCGCGTTCTGTGATCTTCGTAGGGTGAAGCCTGGCCTAGCACCCTAAACCTGTTTACAAGTAACTGGGATTACCCCTAATTGTACAAGTTTAAGGAACACGATGTTCACTAGGGGCTGGAAGTACTCTTCCAAGTCAAAGGACATAGGTCTGAGTGCCCATTCGGCCTTATGCCTTATGGTTTCTGGCTAACTCTATAAAAGCCATCTTTATCAGGCTCCTTAAAGCTGTGAGGAGGTGCACAGACACTACACGGTCCCTGTGACCGCATCCCAAACTCTCCCTGCGGCTAGTCCCGCTAGGGTGCAGGAGGGCTGCCCCGACGGACCTCACCGTCCTGTAGGGGGCGAGCTACCCACATTGTCGTCTCGCTTGGCCTTTCCTTGAGGTTCTGGCGGGGGATTCGGTGGGGGGTTCTTGGCCCAGGGGTGGGTGGGATTGGGGAGCGAAGGGTGGGTTTCGTTCCGACCCGGAGGCCGGAGCCCCGGGTCTCAGTCCACGCCCACCAGGGAGTGTGCACCAGGGTTCCGGACTGGCGTGGCGAGGTCCCGGCACCGCAGCCCGGGAGTGGGGCACGCCCTCGAACCCCTGCACACCCCGGCTACAGACACAATGCGGCGGCCTGCAGCGACTGGCGGGCCCCGAGCGCGCACCTCCCTCCTTCCTGCGGCCTCAGCTTCCCGGCGGCGCGGTGGCGGCGAGAGCGCCGATTGGTGGCCTGGCCTGCGCCCCGCCCCTACCCGCGCCCCGCCGGCCACCGCCCCCTGGCCGGGACCCGCCCCTCTCCGCGGGAGGCGTCGCGGCCCGCGGCTGGGTGGCGGGCAGTTCCCGCCAGCTGTGCGCGCCCGCGTCAGGGCTCGCTCGGAGAGGACGCGGCGGCGGCTGAGGCGGCGGATCCCGGAGCACAGCGGGCAGAGCTGCGGGCTGCGCGCGCCCCTGCTCCCGCCGCGCGTCCCGCGGTGGCTCCCGCGCCCTGCGGCGGCTCCCGCGCCCCGCGCTCCCCTTTGTCCGCCTCCCGGAGCGGCGGCGGCGGCGGGGTCGGAGCCCGCACCCTGGGCGACTGAGGCGGCCGTGGTCCGCTCCCGCGCGCCGCGGCGATGCCGGACCAGATCTCCGTGTCGGAATTCGTGGCCGAGACCCATGAGGACTACAAGGCGCCCACGGCCTCCAGCTTCACCACGCGCACGGCCCAGTGCCGGAACACCGTGGCGGCCATCGAGGAGGTGAGCGGCAGCCTCGGCGGCGCGGGGCGGGCGGCTCGGGCCGCGGGGATCGCGCTGCGCCCTGGGAACCCGCAATGGTCTGCGCTTGCTGCCTGATGCACAGTGCCCGCCGCCCGCGTTCACACCGAGAAAAGTTTCTGGTCCCCCAGAGCCCGTAGCGGCTGGGCCAGCAGTGCCCGTCACAGAAGCCCTTTGTTCCCAGAGAGGTGGCTCTGGAGAGAGGCTGTTGGGCCACCTTGGGCCTTTTTGGGGGAACCCTCCTGTCTGCTCTCGTTTCCCTCGCAGGGTTTCAGGTCTTTTGCTCTATACCTCGGCAAGGTCAACTTCGACCGCAGAGTCCGCGGCGGCGTCTGCGAGCCGGGGACCCCTGCGCGCGCTGCTGCCACGGGTGGTGGGTCCTCTCTTGCGGACCTCTCCAACTTGTTCCAGAAGTGGCCCGGCGGGGGCAGCTGTGCTCCCTGAGCCAGCAGCGGAGCAGGTCCAGGGGTGCCATCCCAGCCCGGGAGGCCTGGCAGCTCCCACTGCGTGCCGCAGAGCAGAGCTGCCGGGGAGGTGGACAGTCAGCGCTTAGAGGTCCGAAAGGCCCTGGTGGCCGCTCCTGTGTTACCTATGTGGTGCCTATTGGCACCATGGTCATCTCTCTTGTCCTTAACCTGGAAAAGGCCTGATTTTAGTAAGGGCTCTCAAGGTGCAGAGTCATTGTATCGAACTGCTAAGCAGCGAGCTCTCCAGATCCCGGGGAAGAGGGATCTTGCGAGAGTCAAGCAGCTCGGGTTGAATATTAGTAGGCTTGGAAGGGTCTCTGTGTGAGTCCCTGGGTCGGGACTGGCTGTGTGACTTGGGACAGCCACACTTCTATCATTTTCTTCATCTTCCAAACCGAATTCAGAGTCTCATCCTTTCGGCTTCCTTGGTTTTGTGCGCGCAGCGGGGCTCACAATAGGTAACTGGCGTACAAGACACAAGTGTGGCAGTAGTGAACCGATGACTACATTTCTTCTGGCCAGAATTTTAAGATTGGGGTAATATCCCTGCCAGCGATGGGGGCGGGGAAAAGGTTGGTCTTCCGAGAGCTTTAAATTAAGCAATGTCATTAAATCCTTTCCTGGTGCCTGAACGCTGCATCTGCTATTAAGAATCGCTTGAAAAAAAAAAATCTAGACTGTTCAGCGTAAAATATTTTTCTTTGGAGACATACACAGTCACGACTAGACTCAATGGAAAATACTAGATTAAGCATCCTGGTGCAGCCTCCTCTTTCTCTCCTCTCCCCTCTTCCAAAAGATCCTCTTGTAAATCTTCTGTAGTGAGTTAAGTCATGTACAGATCGCTTTCTTCTGCCTCTGCCAGCACGGCTTAAACACGGCCCCTTTAGCTGAGGCATGGGGAGTCATGTCTCCGTCCCCCCCCACCCCGTAAGTGCCATTCTTTAGGAAAATGCGTCATTCATTCTTATGGAAGGAATTGCATTTTAAAAGGTAGGAATCCTTCCTTGGGAAGGAACTTGAAAGAGAGCTTGTGTTTATAAAGTTGGGGTGCTTTCCTCCTTGCAGCGTGCCAGCTAAATATTATTAACACTGGCAGATGTTGGGGAGCCAGGCAAAAGGAGTTGTGATTAAGTTGGCATACCCTGCCTCTGATTAATTTTGGTTTGCAGCGGATGAATCCAAAGCTGCTTTTGCACGCAATGCAGGAGATTACCCAAGAGCTCAGTTACTGAGTAGATTGGAGAGAGACTGGATTTGGTCATTTTGTTAAATTGCGGGCTTGCTTCATGTGTCTCCCAAGTGGAGAATGGGTCCAGGTTGGGAAGAGGGAAGGATTAAGACCATTTCAGGCTTATCTCATTTTTAAGCAAACTCAGTACCCCCTCTAGGGTAATAATGTGTATGAACTTGGAGTTGGAGGTAAAGCTGAAAGGGCTCAGCCTGGATTGCTTCAAATAATGCTCTTCCCACTCCTCGATTAGTTGTTGTTCTGTGTCTAATGTAGTAACACACGATACTCACAATACTTGGATTTCAAGCAGACACCTTTTTTATGCTGGGATCAGACACGAGCGTGGGTTTTGTGATGCACATGAAGTTACACATTTCACAGAAATAAGATTGAAAAAATTTATCAGCCTGTTGGTTTCCCTTGGAGGCTGTGTCCGGTCATAGTCATAGATGGAAACAGGCTTTCTGGGCTGGCACACCTGGACCAGCAGTTAACTAGTGCCTGGCCTTGCTTCACATGGCATCCCTGCTGTGCTGAATCTCTAGCCCTGGTTTGTAGATGAGGAACTTGAGGCGAGGAGAGGATGACTTCGACCTTGGCTCCATGCTGCTTCCACCAGCTCCATGGCTTCTTATCTTATGCTTAATGGTGTGTTCTCTAAGTGGTCCCTTTGCCAGACTAGCCACCTTCAGGTCAGGTTCCGTCACTCTTCTGTTGTGTGAACTGGGAGGAACACCCTTCCCCCCAGTCCCCTTTCTTTTCCCATTTTCCAGCCTGAATCATCATATCTGTGAACTTCTGAAGACTGGTGAAGTTATGTGGTACAGCATCCGACAGACAACTGACTTACTACTTGCTAACTGGTTCACCAGACTTCACTGCGGTTAATGTTTGACCTGGAGGGAGAATGGGGCAAGGAGGAAAGGAAATGGATGAATGGCTGAAGGCCTAGAAGTAACTGGAGAATGTTGTCTGCCTCTGTCTCTCTCTCTTGTGTATGGCTGCAGGTGCACTGAATGGTTTGTGTGCTGATTGAGGCCAGAGGTTGACACTGGATGTATTCCTCAGTCAGTTCTCCGTCATCTTTCCCTGCTCTGCCTCTGGGAGTGGGGCGGGGTGGGGTATCACTACTGTCCTGAGCTTTTACCTGGATCCTGGGGATCGTCTCAGGTTCACAAGCTTGTGTGGCAAGTACTGTACCCCGTAATCTGTCTTCCCAGCCCCCATACCTTCTCTCGATCTAACAAGTGTATTTGTTGTCTTCGTAGCCAGGAGAGTGTGACTGCTATTAAACTTTCCCCTTGGTGATGATTTTCTCCGGGTTTCGCATTATTTTGCACAGTTTTAGCAGGCTTTGCGGAGTGAGGAGTCGCGACTGGCATAAGCTTTGTGCTTTTGGAGATGAGGGAGGAAACAAGTAGCTGTGGCATCAGTCTGAAAGCTGAGCTGCCCCTTTCTAGCTCTTTGTGTTTCTTAGCTTCTTTAAGCCCCTGGTTACTTGAGAATACTCCCGAAACAGAGAAAAAGATGTGTCCGTTTTTGGGATGTCCGTGTGGACAGCGAGGCGTGCCTTCATTGCTCCATCCATTCTGCCTTGATGCAGTTTTAAAAATAAATTTGATATTGACTCTTAAGTATTAAAATTTAATCTATTTCCTTCCAGGGCTTTGATTCTCACTCTGTTGTCTTTGGTTACCTTGGAAACCTCTTTGCTGTTCTAACTGAAAAGGGAGAATGAACATCTGGACTGTGTAGACTCCCAGGGGGCCTGCTCTTCATGGGCCAGGCTCCGCCCTGCAGTTCCAATGGGAACTGGCCTTGCTTTTGATTCTGAGCTGTGACCTGTTTGTAAACCAGCTCCTTCAAGATCTCAGGCTAGCAGATTTTGGTTCCATGGTCAGAAGGATACCATTTCTTTCCCAGGACATTTGTGATCTCGGGAGGAAACCTCTCTAGGCCAACAGGCAACCGTGCTATGCTGCTCTGAGATCTCCATGGATGTATCTGGATCATGTTGAATCAGTTAGAATGGACCTGGTTTCCCCCTCCAGCTGAATTTAATTTCTCTTTTATGATTAGTAGTAGAAGCGCTGCTGATGCTCCTCCTTGTGGGTCCTAGCTCTTGCTGCTGTTCATTTGGGATCTATGGAATCCTGCTGAAAGGAGTAGAAATCCGTCCTCTTTGAGAAAACTTGTGGTCCAATGGGAGAAACGTCCTCCAGGCAGATCAGTGCACTCAGACGACAGGCCATGTCTACGAGAATGTCCAGGGTGACTGATGTAAAGCCCAAGACTGGTACTGCTTGTGAGGTGTGGTCAGGGCTGTGGGGTGGAGAAGGCCTTGAAGGGTGGTGTGTCTCAAGTGGCTCCAAGGTGGTTTGATCCAATCTTCCATATCTGTGCCCCTACCTTTGGCAAATATTTACCCACTCCTGAGCTGGCGATCAAGATCAACTAGGCCTTTGGTGGGATTTTCCTATCCATCCAGTCTGCTTAGGCCAAAAATTTGTAGATGCCTTTTATGGTAGGGCACAAATATTCTGTACTGTTGGCCCAAGAATGAAGTCAGCTCCTTGGTCACATTAGTCTATCTCCAATGCCTAGTAGGCACATGGGTTAACCGTGACTGCCAAATGATGATGAGTTAGAACTTCATTCTACATACTTGTGGAAAGTTCCTTTGGCGAGCGTGGTTTTAGGCCCTTGGAACTCCAGAGTGCTTCACCAGCCAGTGTCAGTGTGGTGCGGAACTTGCAGAGAGCTGCGGGACCCACCGAGGGCTGTGGAATGAGAATCTGCATTTTAACAGCGCTCCCAGGAACAGTGTGCATTGCAGCAGGTTTGAAAGTGAGTCCTGGCCAGGTTTCAGAGTTGCCCAGTGGGGGAGAGGGGTCTTGTGGACTGGAAGAACCTGGTCCCACTCTCCAGAATTCTCATCTCATCTGATTTAGGCAAGGCCTGGAACCTCCATTCTTAACAGGTTCCTTCCTGGAGACAATCACTGATTGACCCAGGTAACGATAAGTCAAGGTTATCCATAAGGCGGTGTAGAGAGTGGTTTTGTAGGTGGGAGGAGGCTGAAATCAAGGCAGAGGTGACCTTTGAGCAGTCTGGGACACAGAGGCCTGCTTGAGAGATCTGTGCTTATAAGAGCCCAGGAAAAGACCTGGAGACCTGAGTATTAGGGGTAGACAGGCCTGTGGTCAGAGGCAAGGGAGGGAGAGGAGGGGCCAGCGCTCACAGGGCTTTGCCTTGGGGAGGGAATTTGCATTTTTGATGTG